GTTGACAATACATTTATGTAATTGTGCTGCCGTTGACAGTAAATTAATGTAATATTATTATTATTATTATTATTATTTTTTGTTTGATTTGTTGACAAGTCAACGTAATTATATTACTGTCGTTGACAGTAAAATAACTGTAAACACAATAATACTGTCAACAACATCAATATTATTATTTTTTTGGGTTTTTTGTTTTGTTTGAGTTATTCCCGGAGTAACGTAATAATATTACTGTCTATTATTGTAATATTACTGTAAACACAATAATATTACTGTGGTTGACGGTAATATTACTGTTGTTATAGTAATATTGTTGTCAACCACATCAATATTATTATTTTGTTTGGATTTTTTGTTTGTTTGTGTTCTTCATGGAGTAACGTAATAATATTACTGTCTGATGATGCTAAAAATAGATCATCTCAAGTAGTTGAGCTGGGAGAGCAAAGTGGATCACTGCTCACGTGCTAGATGACCCTCAGATACCTGCGAAAAGAGAACACGTGAACTAGGCCGGGGGTTGATCCGGCGGAAACCCCTCCGACGCTCAAGTTAGACGTGGGGATAGTGGAAAAATTGAGAGAATATGACTAGTCGTCTTATTTAGATAATAGAGCATACCTTTAGCAACTGAATTATATCGTTACTTATACCTTAGATGAGATCGTTGGGCCCAAACCTTATTTGAAGGTGATTGGGCCTCGGTGATATTGGTCTTCAATATTGGGCTCGTGGCCCAGTAGGTAAATAATTTGTAAGTCCATTGGGTTGGCCTAATTAGGCATATCACTGTCTATTATTGTAATATTATTGTGGTTGACGGTAATATTACTGTTGTTATAGTTATATTACTGTCACTCACAATAATATTATTTCTTTTGGTTTTTTATTATGTTCACATTTGTTGAACGGTCAACATAGTAATATTACTTTATTACACAATAATAATGAGTTTTGTTGTGTTAATATTACTGTGCTAGAGATTAATATAGCAATATTACTGTGTTAAACTGTAGTTTAGTTTAATTTTATTGTGTTTAACAGTAATATAGTTAATATTACTGTCAATCACAGCAATATTGCTGTTTAAACGAAAAAAAAAGGTTACAGAAAGAAAGAAAAGAAGAAAAAAAGAAAAAAAGAAAAATCGAAAAAGTCAACGCCGGAAACCGGCGAAAAAATCCGGAAGAAAAAAAACAAAATTGAAAGTCAACGTCGGAATCCGGCGGAAAAAAAAAATTTGAAAAAAAAAAGTTTTGGGTCAAAATTGAATAATCTGTGAAATTTGGGGTCAAATTGAGGTTAAATAAAGTTAAGGATGAAATTGGAGCATATTAAAGTATGAGGGGTTATTTGTGAAGAACCCTAAAATTAAACTGGTAAGGGAAATATCCAATTCAAAGATATATTACCAGAAATAAATATTTTGACCAGCTATTATTACATAATTGTAGAATCGACTCAATATCATATTTTAAGTTTATAACTTTAGTCCATATATTCCTGTTTTAGTCAAACAAATCTACTCCTTCCATTTCATTTTAATTATCGTTTTGCACTAATTCATACATATTAAGAAAACTAATAAAAGTGCATGGATTCTAGAAAATTCATAATAAAAATAACTAAAAAATCACTTTTATTAAATATTTAACCATTAATTCTCTTAATAATAATAATGGCATAGTTGAGAAATTACAAAAAAAAATACTTCATTGGAATCCTAAAGCAACTATTTTGAGATGAAAATATTTCTCTAGAAAAATAAATAAAATGGGAAGGAGGGAGTACTAATTATTTTCGATTATAGTATTTCAGAAGCGGATAATCATTGAATTTAGTTTCCTTGTGTTAATTCATCTTCAAATCAATATTTAGTTTCTTTGTATTTCTTTGTAATACCTAATCATTCATCTTGAGGCTATACAAGTGTAAATTAAATCATTAATTAACTTTATGCACGTACACTTGTATAATCAATGAAATAAGCAAGTAATTATTCTCCATCTCTCTTTGCGTTATTATGAGACACATGTTTTAGTGGGATTTGATAAATGTCGTTTCAGTTTAAATAATATTGTTTCGACTTCAAACATATGTTTGACCATTTTTATGGTTGAGTTTGGCAAAATTCAAAACACGGAAATTAATGATATATATCATCTTGGATCACCAGAATCAAATGTTGGATGAAAAAGATATGGATGAGTCAATGATCAATGCTCGAAACTTTAGTGTTTAAGCTATCTAAAATTCAAAATTTAGTTCATTCATGCATAATTTTGTTATACGATATCCAAATCTAACTGATTCAAATTGGTCAAAATCACGTTTGAAGTCGAAACAATATTAGTATTTCAATTTGTGGTCTATGTTTTCTCATTATTAATTAATAAAAAGAAAATAAATGGACAGATAGAATTGGTCCACTAAAGACAGACAACGATGGATAATCAAAGACTAGTGCAGGTCGGAACTCATAAAATTAAACAATAAATTGAAAATTCAGTATTAAAAAAGGAATAGGAGATTGAACCCACAGAACATTTGTCGCACAACTTCATAATAATTTGGGAAGTTGATTATTTCCTGCCACTTCTGATTCTCCTTGATTGAATTATTGATCGGTGGCCAATTTTCTAGATTCACATATATTCAATTTAGACCAAATTATTTTGGTACCCATACTATTTGTTAATTATTTATGACCAAATAATTTCTATATGCAAGTATTTTTGGTAGGGGACCTGCAAAATTTTATGTCGTTGATTTTGGGCCTCAGATTTCATTAGGAATAATTATGCATGTATGGAAAACACTACTGGCTCCCGCCTGAATCGGTCGTACGCCTTCTCGATCCACGCCCAAACTGTGCGAGCTCCTTCCCCAACCCACGCCCAAAACGGGCGTTCAAAATTGAGTGTGAAAATCAATTTTGAACGCATGTTTTGGGTGTGTGAACTACACAAGTGCGGAAAAAGAAATCCTAGATTTCGATTTCTTGAGGTTTTTAATATGTAATTAACAAAATAAACATTAAATAATTGAAATATAATTAACTTAGAGTTGAATTTACCTTCAAAGTTTCCATGAATTTTGGATGATTTAAGAGGATTCTTGTGAGTTTTGGGGATTCGAGTAAATTTAGAGTGACAAATGGGTATAGTGAGTGAAACGATATTCGTAATTTTAGTATCGTATAAATCATTTGCAGTTACCTTAAAACTTTTCACAAAATAATTAAAAAGCAAACCAATCATTAAGTAAATGGGCTCAGCAGTCTAACTCGGGCCACATAAGGCTATATATATAAATTCGGGCTTAAATAATTTAAATAGGCCCAAATTAAATAACGCCGAATAAAATAAACGAATAACCTCTCCTCTTAACATTTCAAAAGGTAGAGCAAAAACCCTAATTCCCCAGTTAATTGCATTTTCTCCTCTTTCTCTCAGATCGGATCGGGAATTCGAATTCATGGCGGAATAAATCATGGATCCTCCCAATTCATTTCATTTTATTCAATCACCGGAAAATAAAATGAAAATTTGGAAATTCCATCGTTGCTTGATCGGATCACGGCTGTAGAAAGAAGGTAAATCTGTAATCTCTTTTCATATCGATTCTCTCTGTTAATTTGTTTTTTTTTTACACGGAAAATAAATACCATCTCGTGATTATTTTCATTTGTTTTGGGTGCTTTTTTCCATTTGCTTTTGTCTTTTTCTGATGTTATTGTTACTATCTCTTCCCTCCCTGTTTCAATTTCTGGAAAATGCCAAAACTTTGTTGTTCTTGTTATTGTTTTATCTTTATCTGCATCTCTGTTAGAAATGATCACATAGCGTAGTGGATAACGCGTTAGACTCCGAATCTAAAGGTCGTGGGTTCAAATCCCACTGTGATCGATCATAACATTTTATTTTTTTCACTATTTCCTTGCTAAATGAATATTTCAAAGTCACATGTTTTCTTGTTTTTATCTTAATTTCTTATATTTTATTTTATTTTTTGCCATTTTTCTTGCATTATTCATGTCACATTCATAATTGGTATTGCAATTTGCACACACCTCCCCAACTGTCTAACAAAATTGCTGAGCTGTCCAAATTTGAATCCCCCTGCCTGTATTTCTTCTTGAATAAAAATGACAATGGTGTGAAAATGTTGAAAAGTTGTTTTATAAACCTAATGAATCAATTCTGAAAATATATTATTTGTTTGATAAAAATATTTGATGGTCTGTTGAAATATAATAAAAATGATAAATATAACATGTATGAAAAAAAATAATTGAGGTAAATTAAAGATCAAACACAATTACCGAAACTCGATAGAGATCATCACAACAAGGTTTTAACATTCATAAATTCAACCAGATTATTTATTTATTTAATTATTTTATGTAATTAATTTGGCTAGTGTAAGTAAGGCCTGGTTTACTTTACCCATAGACAAAATATACTTGTTTCAAGGTTGAAGGTGCTGAGTGTAGATGTAGTCAAGGTGAGCTTCTGCAGTAACTCTTCTCTTTAAGTCATCTTCATCTTCGTCGTTTTGATACTCCTCCATCTGTTTCGTTATTATTTGCATGTTCAGACAAAAGCAAAACAATACACACACACGCACACTCACACATGCATCCGGAAAAAAAAAAATTCAAGAACGGTAGAGACAAGAGGAAATTACGTCAAAAGAGTCGATTTTTCCAATCTCTACGACAGAGTCCTTGCGTTTGATGTGAGTCATATTCTCATCTACTTCTCCTGCATTAAGAAAAATATATGTATTATATGATATATGTGAAAATATATGTATATATATACACCATTTACCTTGTTCTGATGCCAATTTTCTGGCAGTGGAATTTGAGGTAGTGATGAAGAAAGCAAGGAGGAGGATTATAGCTAAAGAATTGAAATTGGGGTTTTTCATAGCTCCTCAAACTCCACTAGATTTTATTCAGTGTGTGTGTGTGTGTGTGTGTGTGTGTGTGTGTTTGTGGAGAGAAAAGGTGATTCTTGTTGGGAGTTGGGAGAGGTGGAGAAGAAGAGCATATATAGTATAAATAAGAAAATTAGTATATCATATTACTTGATAAAGAAAGTCACGGGTTTAGAATATAAAACTCTCTTTTATATATATATATTTTTCAATAAAAAGAATTAAACATTTTATTTACTTTTTTTTTTAAAGAAACAGATTTATTTTATACTAACTGATAACATGCTTATCACTGCATCAATTTAAATCCACAAGAATCCCATATAGTATATACTATACCACATATCATATATATACACACACACATATATATATATATATGTAGGGCTTTTGCTTTGGTCATTGTCAAGTTAGTGGTCCAGGTAACAATTCCAAATTCAATCTGCAAGATTGTTTTTTTTTTTTTTACATTATCTCTGCTCAAGTCAAATTTCATTTACTTTAGCCAGAAAAAAAAATAATAAATAAATAAAACAATTACAAATTGTAAGCAATCAATTAGATCCATGCACATGCAATTGTTATGCAACATTATATATATGTTTAGTGGCAACTCCACCAATCCTAAGTGGAGTGAGTCTTTGAGATAATCACTTTTCATTAGTCTCATTTTGCTGAGATCCATACCTAACTTCATTTCTCTTCTATCTAATATTAGTTGTCTTTGAGATAGTCTCTTTTTTCTTTTGTGTGGCATACAAAGAATATTCTTTTTTTTTTTTTCAATTATTATTATTACTACTTGTCATTTAATCATTTCATTTCACTTTATTTTATGTCATCATGTACATATGCAGCTTGGATGACATTGATGAGCTGCATATTTATAATTGATGATTATTGTCTATTAAACCCGATTTACTAAGGCCTTCTTTGGTTGACAAAATATGATTAGTCAAGATAAGATTAAATAATATAAGCAAGTTATTGAAAATATCAAACATCAAACAAAGTCTAATTTAGCAATAGTTTTCTTAAGTGGGGTTGGTCTAATTGCACCCAACGTAATTGCAATTGATATTTTGTATGTCTTCTCATTTTGGTAAGTTGATATTCAATCTACAAGATAATATATTTACATTTCAACGCATGCAGATACATCATGTAAAACATTGCAGTTAATCCATCCACTCAATGCACTTTCCAATTTCCACCTATTTCACCATTCTTTTCTTTTTAAATTTGGCAAAAAAAAGAAAAAAAACAAAAATTTAATCACAAAACAAGAAATCAAGATTAATACTTGAACATTTCTTGCAGCCACCTAGTCTGCACTTGAAGGCCAGCATCCCTCAAAGCACTCATGGCCGAGCTATAAAACCTAGCATCCAAAACAGCCCCCTCCATTTTCATATCCTGCAAAAGCTCCACCAACTCAGCGACCCGGTTCGTTTTCGAATAAACCGCAACCATAACACCCGCCATCGCCTTATCAATCTTGCCACCTGTCATCTTAAACTCCTCGTAATACTCTATGCACTTATCGAACTCCTTAACCCTATTGTAACCGCTTATCACACTCGTGTAACTAACCCTATCCGGCACAATCCTCCTCCGCTTCATCTCCTTCCATGTCTTTTCAACCAGCCTCATATTCGACGCCCGCCCGTTCATGTCGAGGATAGAATTGTAGATCCACACGTTCGGCTCGCACCCTCTCTGTTTCATCTTTGCCACGAGCATGTTTGCTTCTTTCGTCCGCCCCGTTTTCGCGTAGGCAGCGATCATGCTAGAGTATGCCACCACGCAATTACGGTACCCCTTTTTCTCCATCTCGGAAAAGACCGTTTCGCCCTTGGAGTAGAGTCCGAGGCGGCAGTATATACTCAATGCCGATGCGTAGGTCACTTGCCCCGGCTCACACCCCTGCGAGATTAGATCTTCGTACACTTGGACAGCTGCTTTAGCACCTCTCTTTTTAGAGTAGCCGTTTACGATTGCACAAAAGATACAATCCGATACCCTAATGTTGACCCGTTTCATTGACGCGACAACATCGAGTGTTTTCTCCATGAGCCCTTCTTCGATATATCTCAACACTAACTTCAAGAACAGAGCCGGATCCCTCAGCATTTTCTTGCTTTCGGCTTCTATAAAGAGCTCTTCCGCCATTTCCAAATTCCCCGAGCTCGCAAACGAGCTTATCAACGACGAGTACAAAGAATGGTCTTCGGGTATTCCCTTCTTCGTCATCTCTCGAAAGTAATCGAGAGCTTCGAGAACTCTCCCTGTCTTGCCCAACGATTCGCAGAGAATCCAGTAAATCTTGGAGTAGTTAAACGGCGAGTTAGGCTGCCCGGTTTTCTTATCGGGCAGTTTCCGATTCTCGAAGTCTCGAAACATGTCAATTGCGTTTTGGTGCTGGCCCATTTTCAAATAAGCTTCCATTACAGTGTAGTAACAATGAGGTTCTAAATCTAAATCCAGGCCGTTGGATTTCATCCTATGGTACAGAACAATGGTGCAACTGTACATATGCAACTGGTTGTATCCTTTCATGGCGGAATCGAATGCCATAACGGCGGTTATAACGTCGTTAGATAAAAAACAATCGAGTAAATTATCGACGAGTTTCAGTTTCCGAGCTTTCATACATGTGGTGATTAATCTACAGCAAGTTGGGCGGTCGGGTAAGACCCGGAATTGGGCGAGATCTTGGCAGAAGGAGAATAAGGAGGTCCAGTTGTTGGATCGGGTCAAGTACCTGATTAGGAGCTTCAGTGTGTATCGTTCGGGTCGGAAATCCGGGTCGGATTTGGCCTTTTGGTAGTAATCGTGGGCGAGGTTTTCGGTTTGGGGATCCTTGAACAGGGTGCAGATTAGGGCATTTAGTTGTTTGTGATCTCGGGGTGAATTGAAGTCCTGGGGGTTGAGAGAGAGCTCGATTACTGCGGCGGCGGCGTCTTCCACGAGCGGCGACGAACATGATGCGGCGGAGGAATCGGGTCTGGCGGGGGGAGGGTTTGAGTTGAAGAAGAGGAGAGAGATGAAGGGGGAAGTGTTTTTGGTTTTGTTGTTTGTGCAGTGGTGTGTGAATTGGTGGGGTTTTCTGTTGTTGGAGGTTATGCCGGCGGCGCGTGACCAGTCCATGGAATTGTATATGGCCGCCATTGATGTGTTGGAGCTCTGGCTTTTGGATCGCCGGCGAGTGGTGGAGCAGCTCTTCCGATGGAAGAGAACAGTTTTTTTTTTCTTTTTTCTTTTTGGGGGTTTATCGTTAATACCTTATCGGCATTGTTGGCATGCAGATTGTGGCTCGTGTGAACCACTTGTTGGCTGACACGTAAGATGTTTGCAGACTTTGAGTTCAAGTCTTTTTATTTTATTTTATTTTATTATTATCATTATTTTTATTATTATTATTATTATTATTATTATTATTATTATTATTATTATTATTATTATTATTATTATTATTATTATTATTATTATTATTAATTGTTACGTCTTATTTTTATAATTATTTTTTAAAATATTTGGATAATAAGCTTATAAGCTGATTTGATCATTATAAGATCTTAAATAAATAAAATGTGTAGAAGTATTTTTTTTAAGATCTTAAATGCTCTCCATCATCTTACTTATTAATTTTTTAAGGTTTTTTTTTAAATTACAAAACATTTAATTTGGTGTTTGCAAATGCTTTTCCAAATAGCTTTTTAATGTTTAAAAAAAACTGATAACGTTTACAAACAATACTTTAAAAGAACGTATAAGCTCTTAAACATATTATAAACTTTTTTCAACAATTTATAACTTGTAAGCTTTAAGCTTAGCCAAACACCCTTTAACTATTAAATAGCTTCAAAGTCACCGGGTTAGAGAGGTTATGTTTCTTTATTAATTATTAAACTTATTGGTAATGATCATGGTTGTTAAATATTGAATCGAAATGAAAATCATTTTATAGAAACGAATAGTAGATTGTAAGAGGTTTATTTATCTTAAAAGTTGATATAACTATTAATTCATTGGATAATTTAATAAATTTTATGAGATAATTATATAGAATTAAATAGTGCATTCCATATTATCACAAAGCGACCAATACAAACTGCTTTTCCCGATAAGGTTTCCGACCTTATAGACACTTCAAATAAAGCCTGAAATGCACAAAATACCGATAATTTAATGTGGGAGGTGGATAGAGAACGAATTATGGAAATTCTGTTGGGATGTTTGGAAGTAGAGGATAAATAAATATGTTTGGCATTATTCCAAAAATGGAAATTTTAGTGTGCGATCATGCTATCACAATATCATCGCTACAAATGGCTACATGGGTTGAATTTGAGAAGCAAATGGTAGTGGTTTTCACCACAAAAAATGAAAATTTATTTGGAATTCAAAAGTGCCCCCAAAAGTTCGAGTTTTTCTCTAGCGAACTTGCTCTGATATTCTAACGACGAACATAGAATTGTTTTGAAGAAAAATTGCTCCACGCTTCACATTATGAAATGTTGTGAACTGAGAGACTTTGGGGAGATCTCCCATTCTGTTTGCAAGATGCAAACATTAATTTTCCCAACTTTAGTGCATGGTTGTGCTATCTTCACTTAAACCTAAGTCGAGAGGCTTTTGAATTGGCTGCTACAGTATGTTAGAGAATATGGTATCTTCGTAATGTTGAATTATTTAGGGGTTTAAAATGTGTGAAGAATGATATTGTTGAATGGAGTACGAATTTTCTTGACGAATATCGTAGGGCTTCTATGTGTGAGGCTAATTCTGGTACACCTAGAGCTGCCGCTTCCAAGAGGTCGCCGCCGCCGGCTGAAATTATCAAAATCAATTTTGATGCAGGTTTTCCTCAGGGAAAAGAATACTTTCAAGTGGCTATGGTGGCGTGGAATCATAATAACCAGTGTGTCTGGTGGAGTATTCGTAAGCTTCAAGGTCGACCAAAGATAGTAGATGGAGAGGCTCGAGCAGCTTTACACGCCATGATGGTAGCTATTGATCGAGGATGGAGAGAAATTATGACTGAAGGTGACAGTCTCGAGCTGATCAATGCTCTTCATTGGAGAGTAGATGGCATGGAGTCGTTCGGGACTATTATTTCTCAGTGCTTGTCCATCAGCAAAACTTTTCTTACCTATTCCTTTTCATTTGTTAAAAGAGATGGGAATTCTTTAGCTCACTCTCTTGTTCAACAAAATGTAATAGATATGATGGAAGATTATATTCTTCCTCAATACCTGGAGGAATTTATTCAATAAAATTGTTTTCATTTGCCTTCGAAAAAAAATTGGTGGCTCTAGAACTCAATAGAAACATGGTTTCCTGAGATTATGCTATATCGGAGTATTTATACTAGGTATTCGTTAATCGTGGATGATGATATATCCACTATGCACAATTACACGTGTGTGTGATTATGTTTAGATTCACGGTCTAATCACACGGTGTTAATAACCGGGTGCAGTATAGAATTTCCTTTGATTGTAGATTCTTTGTAGTTGATATATAATTTTATCTAATGGGCCAGAAAAAAGTTATAAGGCCCAAAAAGTTAAAGACCAACCCATACTCAGTTGTCCAACTAAATGTAAATGAATTTTCGATTCGATGGGCTAATTCGGAAAATGGGCCGAACTTCGTAACAACTAACAGTTAGGTGCAAAATTAGGGGTTGTCTAGTGTCCGAGAGGGCTGTATTTCTCGGACCTTAATTTTTTTAATCTTCTACGTACAAAACACTTAAGTTTTAATCTTATCCATTGATTTATGTGTACGATGTAGTACAACCTAGTACAACATTAGAAATTTAAAATATAATGTACGAATCCAGTAAAAACACATCGTACACAACCGTACACACATCGTACTTTTTATAAATTACATTTTTAACCTTGTAAACTCAAATAAATAAAATATCTATTAAGAAATATTATAATAATCATAATTAATTAACAACACTACGCGATTAAATAAAAAAACATCACAAATTTTCTTCCCTAAACGAAAATCCCCATCTCGACAACCATCAACTTTTCACGAAGAAATCAAAGATGATTTATTGGAAGATTATGGTTCCAGAAGTACAACCCTTTTGGACTCTTGACAACCCTGCAAAATTATAAATAATTAAATAAATATTTCTGAAACACACCCCGACTCTTTCGACCCTGCACCCGGTAATTAACACCTAGTGAATCTTCTGTTGCCACATGTCTTTTTTTGTATTTTATAATATATTTTCTCGCTAAGTTTTACATTTAGGAGTTTTGGGGGAAAAAAAAAAAAAAAAAAAAGACACGTGGCAGAAAACTCACCTAGTGTTTATGACCGGGTGTAGGGTCGAAGAAGTCCAACCACCCCACCACCCCCACCCCACTACATAATGAGGGCTGGTCTTCCACCCCTGTACAATACTTGTATATGAATAATTCTAGTAGTATACATATATATTGAATATATTAATAAAATAAAATAAAATAGAATTAAAAAAGAAAAGTAATTTCCATAAAATGAAATTGTGTGTCAACTACCACCACATTTCACACCAACATGAATCCTTTCCGGCCCCACCTACCGGCCATCAAATTCACCTACCATATACACATATCCCACCCTTCCACTATATGCTTACCAAACACTCTCTTCTTAATTTATAATTCAGTCCTTGACTAGTTGTATTATTATTTATTCACACTAGTTTATACATCCATATAACCATGTGCCAATTTTTTTTTACTTTCAAACTAATATTTTTAAATTTCAATAAAAAAATACCGCTCAAAATAATTAATCCCTTACATTAAATAAAATATAAAAGGGGTTTCAATATTTTAATTTTACCTAGTGGCCCCTGCATCAAATCACCTGGAACCACATCACTAGATGTTGCAATTAGTGTTTGTACAATATCATCATTACATCAACGTGTGGGAAATGCAACAACATGAAAAATAATTAACAGATAAAATAAAATAAAAATAAAAAAGATTGTTCAAGATCGTGATATATTTATTTTCTTTGAATATACACTGTTCACTTGTAAATGTACAAGCTTAGCACCACATATTGAGGGCCAATACAATTCACACTCAACAATTCATTAATTAATTGATTAATTAATTAATTAACTAATTAATTTTAGACCCAATGTACCACAAACTTATACTCACCTACCATTCTTGCCTCTCTTCCACACTATTTCCAATCAAAATTTAAAATATGTAGGAAAAATACAAAATTCAAATACACCCCCCTTGTGTGACTTAATTACGTTTTGTACTGGGGTAAATAATTAATTAATTAATCGTGGCGAGAGGAGGGGGTCCACGGTGTCATATCCATGGGGTAGCTGCCGAGTACCCTCAAGAAGGACGTGAATTCCTGGACCTCCGCTAGCGCGTTCTGCGCACGCGCCTCCGCCAGAGACGCCTCGAAGTCCACGTAGAACATGTACTCGAAGTGCTTGGCCGTGCCGACGTTGGCGTCGTCCACCAGCCGTATGGGGCGGTTCCGGTGCGGCCGCGACTCTATCTTGGTGAGGCTGATGTTGCGGAAGGCGAACGCCGACAGCACCTTGAACAGCACGCTCGTGCCCTTGTCGTGGGCGAAAACAATGCTGGTCTTGAACGGCCGGTCCGTCCGGGGTATGATCGGTTCACGTGCCAGCATCACGAACCGGGTCACGTTACCCGAGTCGTCCTGGATCCCGTCGGCCAGGATCTGCATCCCGTAAAGCTCGGCCGCGCGTGCGGAGGCGATTGCTGCAGTGTCGCGGAGGTTGTTCATCGCGATGTACTCGGCGGCGCCGGCGGTGTCGTCCACCGCCTCACGCGCGACGTTCAGGCCCATCTTCGTGAGTGTGTGCTCGCATTGGGAGAGCGCCTGCGGGTGGCTGATTACGCGCGTGAGGTAATCCTTCCTCACGCCGGGGAGTGCCAGGAGGCAGTGGTGGACCGGGAGCTGGACTTCTCCGACTATGTGGAGGCGGTGGCGGAGGAGGAGGTCGTAGTTCCGGTGGATCGAACCGCCCAACGAATTCTCCACCGGCAGCACGGCTCTATCGGCTATCCAGAGTTCCACGGCCTGAAACGCCACCTCGAATTGATCGCAGGGGATGGCTTCGCAATTTGGATAAGCCTTGCCGGCGGCGGCTTCGCTGTACGCGCCGGGGACTCCCTGGTAGGCGACGCGGAGGGGAGAGCCGTGCATCGGCGCCGGCGATAGATCTGTGATGCTGAGCGGCTTCGGGAGCGGGGCGGGGTAGCTGGACGATTCCTTGACGGGAACGAGGCCGAGCGTGGGGTGGCCGTTGACGGCGGAGAGACCGTCGGCGCCGCCGCCGCTCTTCTCTGTGTCCTGCTGTTGGGAGACAACTTTGCTGGCGAGAATGGCGCAGGCGCTCTGCCACTCGTGGCGGGCCCTGCCTACGTGGCCGCCGTAGGTGGAGTTGGAATTGGCGTTAACGCATTGAATGAAGAGACGACGGGGAACAACAACCACCACCCGGTGGTGGGTCAACCCGAGACCCGGTGGTGGCGCAATTCGGGTCATGGACTTCAGATCTAAAGGGGAAGAAGAAGTAATGGATTTCATAGTTGAGGGGCCAAAGTAGAAATAGAATGAAATATAAGGGGCAAAAAGAAAAGGAAAGAATGAGCATGTACAGTTCTCCGGGAGAAGGGAACGTGCAAGCTGAAAAACAATGGAAGAGAAGTTAAGGGTTTATATATTGGGAAGAAGATGAGCGCGTGAAAATGGGCGCGTGAAGTTAGTTTTTTGGTCAATATATAATCTCATACCTACCCCCTTTCAATTTTCCTTGCCAAATTTGTAATCAAGACTATGTTCAATTTTCTCTTCTAATTAATTTGTAATTAATTTTCTATATACATTTTAACAAAATAATTTTTCAAAGCACGTAAGATAAAATGTTTAGGTTTCAAATTCATAATTTAAAATCATCAAAATTTGTAATTGATATACCTAATTGGGCCGACCCAATGGACCCCAATTTATTTAATAATTAGGCCCAATACACGAGAATATTCGGGCCCATTACACGAAAGCCCAAGCACCTTCAAAGTAAGGCTTGGGCCCAACAAAATAAGCCCAACTTAATCAACGACATATAAATAGAAGTTTTATTCATTTGAAAAGGTACGTGCTCATTTTATTAATAATCAACCACAAGTTTATTCTCTCCACTTTTCTCTACGATCCGTACATCTGACTTGAGCGTCGGAGGGGTTTCCGCCGGATCAACCCCCGGCTTAGTTCACGTGCGCTCATTTTGTAGGGACCTCAGGAACATCGAGTTGACTAGCTACAGATCAGCTTTGCTCTCCCAGCTCGTTTTATATACTATCCTAGGTGAGCTATACTCTAGCATCATCATTTTGGCGCCGTCTGTGGGAACGATGCAAACCAGATCACGTAGCCAACAAGATCCTCCTGAGGCATCAGCTCGGAGAGAAAACGACACAGCTAATAACCTCCCCGCCCGTGGAGGATCTGGCATCCCACCTCCTCCACGCGCCGCGGAGCAACTTCCTCCACGTGCCGCGGAGCCAGCTCCCCCACGTACTGCAGATCCACCTCGCGAGGTTCAGGTGATCCCCCCTCGGGACCCACCACTCGCCGATCCACCACTCCCTGCTCCTCGAACGGTTCAGATAACCGAGGACGCACTCCAACGTATGATAGCGGAAGCTTCTACTCGCGCCGCCACGGAGGCCGTAACTCAATATATCGCCACGATGGGAGCAAACGCTCCCAATGCGATACCAGCACAAGCTCCACCTATAGCACCACCAGTGGTCCCACCGCCGATCCAGAATCAAATAAGCGTCTCTTCCTCTACGTCGGACCCACGGTCCCGAGTGCAGCTATCTACTAATCACAGAGGAGCACAACCTAGACAACAACGTCGGCGCTCACCCCTACGGGGGAATGCATCGCCACCAAGAATCCCTCTCTTTAATGAGGGAGAAGGCGAGGTAAACAGCCGAGTGTCTCGCCAAAACCTTTTCTCCCAACCAAATAATCAAATGGGTGAGAGGATGCCTCTCCCAGCAAGACGCAGTCCCTTCACCATAGAGATCCTCAACGAGGTATTACCTCAAGGGGTAAAGATCTCGGGGTTACCTCAATTTGAAGGGACCACCGACCCACAGGAACATATTGAGAAATTCAGTGCCATGGCGGATTTATACGGCCCGACGGATGCGGCGATGTGCAAGATGTTCCGCACCACTCTCTCCAAGAGGGCAATGAATTGGTTCAACTCCCTGCCCATAGGGTCCATTGACACCTTCGCTCGGTTGTCGACCCGATTCACCAACCAATTCGCCATCAACAAACAATACGCCAAGACCCCAGCTCATCTTTTCTCTGTAGTGCAGAGAGACAACGAAACACTCCGCAACTACATCAAACATTTCGTAGAAGCCGTCCATGAAGTCCCCAGTGTGGGGCAAGACATGCTCTCAGGGATTATGCAACAGAACTTGAAACCGGGTAGATTCAAGGAATCTATTGCCGGAAGACCACCAGGCAACCTAGAGGAGTTGTTAAACCGAGCCGAAAAGTACGTCAGGATAGAGGAAGCTTCCACCCACGCTCCCCCTAAAAGGAAAAGGGAAGATGACCGTCAGGACAATAGGAGGCGTGATGACCGACGTCCACCACTTCCACCTCCAAGCCAACCCTCCTCTTCCTACAATAGGTTCACTCCGTTAAACGCTCGCCTCACTGAAATCCTTCACGTGATAGAACAGAGAGGTTTAGCGGAGCCTCCACGTCCTATGCAGCCTAACGCAAAGCGAGAAAAATCGGATCGCTATTGTCGATTCCATAAAGACAAAGGGCATACTACGGAGGAATGTGCACAACTTAAAATGGCGATTGAGAGGCTGATCAAACAAGGCCATTTAGGCGAATACGTCGACAAGCCACGAAATAAACGCCGTGATGATCCTCCACGCCGAGATAACAATCGAGATCAACAACAAAGACGAGAAGATGGGGGTCACCGACGTGACCTAGATAACAACGATAACCAGCCTACCCGGGGAATCATCTCCTTCATCTCCGGAGGACCGGCGGGGGGCGATTCACAGAATGCAAGACGCACACTCGCTCGATCAGCGCGCATGAATCAAGAACGCGCTTCTCCATCCGAACGCATATATCAAATACGAAGACCTGATCACAGCATAGTCTTCAACTCCTCCGACCTCGAAGGTCCAGATGAAGACCATGTCGATGCATTGGTCGTAACAACAACGGTGGCCAACTTCTTGGTCAAGAATATATTAGTGGACGGCGGAAGTTCGGCTGACATCATGTACCTTCACGCTTTTAAGCAGCTGGGTATAGATAACGCCCGATTTAGTCCCGTCTCCACACCCCTGAAAGGATTCACAGGAGAAGGCATCTTATCCATGGGAGAAGTGGAGCTGCCTGTCTCTTTAGGGGAAGACCCCTGTCGAATCACGAAACTAATCAAGTTCCTCGTCGTCGACAGGCCATCACCCTACAACATCATTCTAGGGAGGCCAGCCATCCACACATTCAAGTCAGTACCTTCCTCCTACCATCAGAAGTGGAAGTTCCCTACTCCCTATGGAATGGGAGAAGTGCTTGGAGATAGACGTCTCGCTCGAGAATGCTATGCAAGGGCCCTACGAGAACCCTCAAAGAAGCCTAAACCGCCCGGAAAGGGAGACGACACCCAAAAATCCGACAAGCGGAAGTGGGTCAATGCAATCATTGAGGACAATAAAGAAATCCTCATCAGTGTACCAGACGATAGCATCAAGCTAGCGGCTGTCGAAGAGCTTAAGTTCATAGAGCTCACACCTGGAGATGATTCCAAACTCCTGCGCATCGGATCTGATTTAGATCCTGAGACGGAACAGCAGCTAATCAACTTCCTGCGACACAATGGAGATGTGTTCGCATGGAAAGCCCAAGATTTGTCGGGCATTCCCCCTCAGGTAGCCCTACATCGGCTTAACGTCGACAAGAGGATGAAGCCAGTCAAACAGAGGAAACGAACGTTTGGACCCGAACGCAACAAGCATATCAAGGCAGAAGTGGCTAAACTTCTAGATGCGGGTCATATACGACCAGTTCAGTATCCTGAATGGTTGTCGAACGTGGTACTCGTTCCCAAACCTGGGGGAAAGTGGAGGTTATGCGTGGATTTCACTGACCTCAACAAAGCTTGTCCCAAGGACCCATTTCCTCTACCCAGAATCGATCAACTCATCGATTCGACCTCGGGGTGTGAGCTCCTCAGCTTCCTCGATGCATACCAAGGATATAACCAGATCTTACTCGCGCCAGAGGATCAAGAGAGGGCTAGTTTCATCACTGACCAAGGCATCTACTGCTATCAAGTCATGCCCTTTGGATTAAAAAACGCAGGAGCCACATACCAACGTCTAGTGAACACAATGTTCGCAGATCAAATCGGTAAAAATATGGAGGTGTACATCGACGACATGCTCGTCAAAAGTGTCAAAACCTCAGATCACCTAACCGATCTGGATCAGTGCTTCGCTACCTTGCGAAAATACAAAATGAAACTCAACCCCCTCAAATGCTCGTTCGGAGTTCGAGGTGGTAAATTTTTGGGATACATGATTTCACAGCGAGGAATCGAAGCTAATCCCGCAAAAATCGAAGCAATTACCTCCATGCCTCCACCAACATCCATCAAAAAAGTCCAACAGCTTAACGGTTGTTTGGCATCTTTGAATAGATTCATTTCTCGATCAGCGGACAAGGCCCTACCCTTCTTCAAAATCTTAAGGGGAGGAAAGAAATTTGAGTGGGATGAGGCATGTCAAAAGGCATTCACAGAGCTAAAGTCATACCTAGCATCCCCACCCCTACTCACAAAACCTCACCCAGGAGACACCCTCCTACTGTACTTAGCTACCTCAGCTAATGCCATCAGCGCAGTCCTCATCCGAGATGGAGGAAAAGGCCACCAACCCATATACTACATAAGTCGCGCCCTCCAAGGAGCCGAACAACGCTACACCAACATGGAGAAACTCGCTCTCGCCCTCATCAACGCAGCTCGGAAGCTTCGACCTTACTTCCAGTCGCATCAAGTGGTGGTTCTCACCAATTATCCTCTGAAGCAAATACTAAGAAGTCCTGAGACATCCGGACGATTAGCAAAATGGGCGATAGAGCTAAGCGAATACGGGTTCGAATTCAAACCCCGCCCGGCTATCAAAGCGCAAGTATTGGCAGATTTTCTAGTTGAAATGACCTCCGTAGAAGAAAGTACCTCTCTTCCAACTTGGTCCGTCAGCGTCGATGGATCGTCCACTGCAACAGGAGGGGGAGCGGGTATCGTCCTAACGAACCCTGATGGAGATGAGTTCGAATATGCTCAACGATTCGAATTCACAGCCTCAAACAACGTCGCTGAGTACGAGGCCCTGATAGCGGGAATCCGCCTCGCCCTAGCAGCTGGAGCGCGCAAGCTCCTAATCCAAAGCGACTCTCAACTCGTCGTTAACCAAGTACTCGGAGTTTACGAGGCCAAAGAAGACACCATGGCGAAATATTTAGCTCTCGCACACACTCTCCTATCCAAATTCGAGAGCTACGAGATAATACAAGTACCCCGCTCCAACAATATCCACGCTGACAAGTTAGCTAGACTAGGAAGCTCCATGGCTAGCATCGGAAGTCGGAAGGTGACGCTCCTCACATCCCCTCAACCGGAAATAACTTCACCCAATGAAGTACAATATACCGAGGAGGATGAACCATGCTGGTTCACTCCAATCCTGAAGTATCTCAAAAAAGGAGAACTTCCAACGGATCCCACCGAAGCACGAAAGTTAAAAACGAGAGCTGCACGATTCGTCATAGTGGGA